AATAAAATTATGTTTAATTCTAAACCTTCAAATTTTATAAACAAACAATGATTTTTAATGTTTTATTTTATAAAAATCAATCAAAACACAAGCAAAGTGTTGGCCAAGTTGTGAAACCTAAATAAAAAACTTATCGAATAAAATACATTAAAATTGAAGTATCACATCGATTAACATTGATATTAATATCATCCCAAGATAATATTTAAAGATAAAATGAAAGCTTTTTCATAAATTACCTATATGATCATTTAATTTTTTATAATTTTTTTAATATTTTAGAACTGAAATTAAGATCTTACTGTGAATATAATAAATAACTATTAAAAATTAAAATTGATCAAAATAATATTCGTAATCTTCAATTGTAACCTTCAAAAAAAATATGTTAATGTTAATCGAAATAAGATGTGAAAAAATGATTTCATAATCCTGAATAAAAGTAGCAACAACATCGAATTATTAATCATTTTCAATAAAAAAAAATATTTTGATCATAAGTTTGTTGACGTTAAGGAGCAATTTTTTTTTCAAATAGAAATTCAATTATTCACATAAAATATCTATGAAATTTGTTAACTAGATTTTCCTTATGTAATCAAAGTTTTTTTAAAGTTTAAATCATTTAAGAATTGTTTCATGAAAATATAAAGAAAAATATTTATTCTTTTTATTTTCTTATGGCATATTAATATTAAAGCTCATTTAATAACAGAAAGTCTGATAAGTATCTTTCGAATAACTTTTGTTCTTTTAGAACATCAATGTTAATATAACCATCACATATCATCATAAAGTATAAAAAAGAATATATTTAAAACTTTTCTTTTTTCTCTATTCTTTATCTCTATTTCAAGATATGCACTGCATGAGTTATTACTCAAATTGACGGCGAGTGTTGTTTTTATCTGTCGTTTCATTCAATCATTCTCCGTTTGTTAGAATGGCGAGTGCACTACATTCAAATGATCTTTACACATTCGAGATGAAAACACAAACGAATTGAACATGAAATGTTTAAAGACGACAAAGATATCGTGCACTCAATATTCCATTGCTTAGCAAACACCGGTTGTTATCATACGCTGCCTATTATCATTCCGTTACGTCGACGGCGTCTTTTATCGCGTCTTTCCGTTTTCATATCTTATCTTTCTTCCATTTCCACTTCTTCTTGTTCTTCGTAACAGAAGAATAAAAATAATTTTCTAACTAATGGAGCTTTTGAGGGTGGCTCTAAAACAAATGAACCTTCCCAGGGATATCCGACGTTCTGTTGGTGACCCGTGCAGGCGTGCAGATGGTAGGCCTTCATAACATACATCAATGTATGTATGAATAGAAGCGTCCATTTCGTCATCATCTTCGAAAAGATGATGATCATGGTCGTACTATTCATACGCCCATCGATGTATGTTTGCCTAACCATTGCCGGCTTTGTCCACTGTACGAGCCAGCAGAATACGGAGGGTATCTCTGGTCGCGCGTGCGCGAAATTTTGCAGCTGCTTGCTTCGGCGAGCCTTAGTTTCAAGAAGGCCAATTTATTTTGTCTTTAAAATCGAAAGAAAAAAGAATTACATTTTCTTTTTCACATTTTCAATGTTTTTTTTTGACTGCGAAATATCGGAATGAGTGAACGGAAGTGATTTTTGCCGGATCTCAAGTCCTTTTTGCAGAAATGAAAGTGCTTTTGAGTACTCGCCCATGTTTTCATGTACCAAACCAATGTTGTTGTAGGTATTAGCCAAGTTGGGATGATTCGGAGGCAGAGCTATTTTACGGATTTCAAGTGATCGTTCATACCATGAAAGTGCTTTAGAGTACTCGCCCATTTCATCATACACCGCACCGATGTTGTTGTAGGAAGTAGCCAAGTCGGGATGATTCGAAGGGAGAGCTATTTTCTTGATTTCAAGTGATCGTTCATACGATTGAAGTGCTTTTGAGTACTCGCTCATGTTATAATACACCGCACCGATGTTGTTGTAGGAAGTAGCCAAGTCGGGATGATTCGAAGGGAGAGCTATTTTCTTGATTTCAAGTGATCGTTCATACGATGAAAGTGCTTTAGAGTACTCGCCCATTTCATCATACACCAACCCGATGTTGTTGTAGGAAACAGCCAAGTCGGGATGATTCGGAGGCAGAGCTTTTTTGGTAATCTCAAGATCCTTTTCATAATATGAAAGTGCTTTTGAGTACTCGCCCATTTGACCATACACCACAGCGATGTTGTTGTAGGAAGAAGCCAAGTCGGGATGATTCGGAGGAAGAGCTATTTTACGGATTTCAAGTGATCGTTCATACCATGAAAGTGCTTTTGAGTACTCGCCCATTTCATCATACACGATACCGATGTTGTTGAAGGAAGCAGCCAAGTCGGGATGATTCGGAGGGAGAATTTTCTTTGTGATATCAAGTGCTTGTTCGAGGTATAAGACTGATTTTAAGTACTCACCCATGTTATTATAGACCCAGGCAAGTTGATGATTGTATTCCGCTCGACCTTGATCAGAAGACGCCTTTGCGAGGAGGATCTGATAGAGTTGTTCTGCTTTTGCAGGCTCGCGCAGTTGAATAAGTATGTCACCAAGTCGAGACCATCCTGTGCGCTCACCAAGGTCCTTACGCATGTGTGCTGTAAGTGTGTTCAATTCATGATTGTGATTACCCACAATAGTGAGAGTAACTTCATATAGCCGATCGCAGTGATGATCGTGAATTTGTTCGATGTGATCGATACGAAAAATCGCATGTGTTGAAAAAAGTATTTCTTCTTCCTTGTCTTGAAAGAAGCCAACTTCGTTAGTTACTTCAGCAAATGGTGTTGATGTTTTTGTACAAATAGCCGTGTCAATGTTCATAATGAAGAGAACACCAACTGAATTTGGATTAAATGCTGCTAGTTGTGCAAAGTTGTTGAAAGATATCTCACGATTACGACTTGTCGACAAGAAATTATTAAAGGACATAAGTCCTCCTTCGTTTTTTTTCATTTTTTCAAAGTCTTCAATGGACAAACCTTGTCCACGGAAGACTTGAAAATTTGTTGGCATGTTCCCTTGTTGTTCACGATGTAATTCTTTAATATGTTGATGTAAATGGCGAATGAAGAAGCCCATTTTCAGGATAATATCGACATCCATTTGTCGAAGACCATAATTGAGCATTGAGTAGATAAAATATGGACCTGTGTACCACCAAATGGGTGAATGATTACGATATTCTTCTTCAATCTTTTCAAGTGTTTTTTCGGAAGCATCGCTTTGAAGACGACAGTATTCAACGAGTTCCTTAATCGATTTTGCATCGTCATCTTCTATTTGCAAAAGTGCTTCTTTTAACAATTGTGTATACATAAATAATGGATCGATTCTATTAAAACTTATCGAGATCATAGCTCGATCACAATTTTCTTGATAGATTTGTAATGCTTTACAAATCGGTTCGATTTGTGTGTATATACCTTGTACCTTAGCTATTGTTTTGGCCCATTCCTCATGAATTGATTGATTGTCACATAAAATATAAATTGAGACTAACTGTGGGCATTCTTGAATTATCGGTATTGTATGTTGTGCCAGGGCACCTGATACGATCATAAATACTTTTTCGTTCTCAATGTCAGTGAGAAAATCAATGGATTCATCAACGTCTGTAAACACTGCGACCGTTGCCACTATATGTTGCAGATATTTCATTGGTTTTTCATAATCGTCTTTGGACTCATCAAAGGTGGCATCGAGCCATACCAAAAGGAAGTTTTGAAAAATCCGACGAGCAGTTTGAGGAAGTACTGCATTTCTGCTTGTCGTTGTTGTTGGTAGTGATGCTGCTGCTGTTGTTGATAATGATTCTTTTGGTTTATTTATTGTGGAAGGAGAAGATGATCCACTAGCAGTTGATTTTGAATGTTGCTTTTTGTCCATTTGGATGATTTGGATGATAATAATGACGTTGTGTTTTTCGTAAATGATTTTTTTCAATAGTTTTTTTTTCTTTTTTCGTGTTGACACTTTTTATTTTTTGGTTTGTTGCTATAGAAGACTTGAAGGATTTCTTTGCTCAATTTTTTGTTTGTTCGTTCGTTTTCTTTTTATTTCAAGAGTTTTTTATTGACAAAACGACAGTGACGAAACATGTGTCACCAATAACTGAATAATTGTATTATCGATCAATTGCGCATGATTTGTAGGAAAGAAAAAACAAAAAGTTACAAATAGAATTTCAAAATAAGTCGCTATATTTTTTGTTTTCATTGTTTTTCTTTTTCTTTACTCCTAAAGCCACCGACACATTAGAAGACCCGGGGTCTTCTATTCTGTCTTATCGCTCATAAGTTACAAGGGGGGTCTTCTATTATGTCCCCTATAAAGTTATACTTTTCACCAGCCTTTCCAACAAATTTTTGTTTCAATTCAATTTTGTTCTACATAATCGTTAGAAAAACAGTATTTTACTTATTCGACATGTGTATGATGAGATAGTAACAAATTTTATCCTGTGAAAAAAAGAGAGTCTATCATTGGTAATAAATATTCTTAGAATATTAAAGGAAACGTACCCGAACACCTTGGTAAAATGTTCACTAACAGTTTTTTTTCTAAAAAATAAGATCTGCCATTGAACAAATTTTAACTTCTCAATAACTAAATAACTCAGAAAAAAGAATTAACTTGTTTTATCAAACTCAATTAAATTTATTGTTCTTGTTTATTTTTGACTAGTATTAATGGACTCTGTTCACATCAAAATCTACTAATAGCATATTTATAAGTCTCAAGCCAACGTCAATGAATACATTTGTATTAAAAATAAGCAACTAATAAAGAAAGAGTAGTTGGATACACATTTTGTGTTTTCTTCTTGGTCTTTTTTTTAAAATTGACTTCAGGTTTTATTGAGAATAGAAATGCGTTCTGAGTCTCATGAGAAGTAGTTACAAAAAACCGATGCGTATTAGAGACGAAAACCAAATGGAATTGTCGAATGATCTTATTCGATTGAATTTGTCTGAGGCGAACTGAATCCGATCGAAGATGTTGCCGAATTGAGATTTTCTTATTCGTTTCTGTCTTGAGCGTATATCCATGAGTTCACATGTTTTTCAATTATGAAAGAATCCTTCGTGATGAATATGTTTCAGAATGTCTAGAAATCCCAGATAATGAGGCTTTTTAATTATTAGGCAATGAAGTTTCACCTAATATGGTACTATTTTACAAAGATCTCTTCATGCATTACATCCACGGTTCTTCACTGAATCCATCATAACCCACGGCCATGAGAAGTTTTTTGTATAGAGAACCGTAAAAATTCCTTCGGAATATGCTGCAAAAGACCCCTAAAAAGATTTCATGATAAGTGTTCTATAAAGAAATACATTCTTTACTAAATAGTTGTTTCCTATTCGTCGTTTCGCAAGACTTTTTTCACTCCGAACTGATGCATCATTTTCATGAATGAAGCAAAATATTGTTCATACTGATCTAAGATACAATTATGGACTTAAATACTAAAACAGTTAATAAACTCCAGAAATTATTTGAAAAAAAAACGATTTTGTCAGGGGGGTCTTCTAATATGTCTTTTGCTTCATTTATCCAAGGGGGGTCTTCTAATATAGGGGGGTCTTCTAATCTGTCGATGGCTTTATCTGGTTTCATTAGACAATTCTCTTATTTTATCTAAGTTTCTATATGCAATACATCTTAAATCAATAAAATAAGTGTCTTATCAAAAAAAGAAAAAAAGAACGAAAAAAAAAAGAATTCATTTGTGTAGTTAGAGTAAAAATGTTGAAAACATAATTAGTTTCCATGACTAAAATATCTTGTTTTCAAAATACAACATGAGTTCATTTAGTTGTTGATTTAGTTGTTATACTCAAGTCATCATGTTTTCTTTTGAAGTTTGCATCATCATCTCAACAAATCAGAGAAGAAACAAAATAAAAATATAATAAAATGAATCAATGTTATTTGCATTGTTGCCCAGGTTTTTTCCAACATAGGTAGGAAGAATGAGTATCGAAATAATGCCACGTGTAGATGTGAGCATGAGTTTGAGTCTGTTTGTCCTTCATAATCACACTTCATATTCAATAGATATTATTCTAACAGATTTTCACTAAGAACAAATGTATTTTATTTATGAGAGGAGAAATGAATTAAAAGACACGATTTGCTTCTAATAATATTTAATTATATATGATAAAGCATTTATAGAATTAAGATGGTTGCTCATATGTTATAATATACTACGACACGAAAACAACAAAACTATATACCTACAATACATACAACGATTGCAAGTAAAATTCAAAATATACACAGGGACACTAAATTTACACGAGTAAAATATAAAGATACATCTATATAAATATTGTTATTCTTATATCCCTTGTCTTGTTTAACTAGAGTCTGTTTGTTTGGATTCTAATTTGACATACAACACTTTAAATGAAATATATGGTCATTTTTACATTTCTTTTTTTTCTCTTAATGTACATATTATTGATAAAAAAAAGACAAATCAACGATTAATTTATATTCATTGATTTATAATATTCTATTAGAAGTAAGTTAATATTTCTTCAATGTATTTAATAAACAAAATATTGACTTCGACTTTTGTACCATTCCCAAAAAAAGTTTCTTTATTGTGTTATTAATTTGATCCATAAATCATATGTGATCATGAAATGTACCTCAAGATAAAATTTCTGTGCTTTAAATATTTTTGAAATTTTCGAACTGATGAATCGATTTTCATTCATGACTAATAGCATTATGTAATGTGCATACTCTGAGTTTCGTTTTCCGAAATAGGTTTTTTGCCAATGTTTTAAAATTTGTTGCTAATTTTCTCTTATGAGATGTAGGTATAGTAATAGTTTGGCTTTTACATCATTCGTACAAATTGATAGATCTGATGTTCGTTCTTGGAATTTTGATGATAAATGACTCTTGCTAAAATCTGTCTCTACGGCAAGACGTCAAGTCAAAATTCAAAAATCAATTTTTTTGTTATTAGAAGTTTCCTCATGAGTAAAATAATCATGAACTTCATTAGATATTCGATAGTTCAAATAAAAAAATCTCATAAGATGGAGTGTGGTTGATTGAAGAAGAAGAAACCACAGCCATAGGCAAATCCACACCCAAAGTACACAGGTATAAATCAATTCTAGAACAATTAAAGACAAGTATATATATATATTAGTTTTATATTTTTGAAAGCATGAAATTACAATGAGTTTTTAGTTGATTTCCACATCAAATCTTTTTCAAATCGATTCAATACAGATTGAAGAATTGGATTGCGTTTTTTCCTACTTAAATTTTTCTAAATATATTATTATGATGTAGAGATGAACAAGGAAATCTAATTACGATATGACTGAATAACAGCAACATTTAATCTATATATATAAAGAAGAATGTTTGTCTGTTTGTTCTTCATGCATTTGGACACGGTACGAGCAAATGCTATGAAACTTTCCAGAAATGGTCTTTACACCTAGGGAAAGGTCGACATGTATTTTTTTCCGAAAAAAAACGAATCCTACGCATGCTACAGGCAACCTAGAAAACTGACCAATAGGATTACAGCATTCCAAAAAATTAAAATAATTGGTAGCGAAGGCAGCCGAAGGCCGTCTGAGCGCTCATATACAACATTTCACATGTTCCATCTATCTATGCCAATCCTGTGCTTGCTACAGGCAATCTAGAAAACTGACCAATAGGATTGCAGCATTCCAAAAAATTAAAATAATTGATAGCGAAGGCGGCCGAAGGCCGTCTGAGCGCTCATCTATATACATAAAGAAATGTGTTTGTGTTTATTTTACTTACAACAATGACGCATGCATTTTTTTCTGACGCTCAAAGATAACGTCTTTGTTCTTTTTCATGACTCAGAAATATGACGTATTAACGGTATCTATATATACTATTTATACAATTTTACTCAATAATCAGCTGTATTACATTCTTGAATACATATGACTTCATTTCTTTGTCATTTGTTGTGTATGATGCCATGTATAACATTTCTCCTCATATATCATATTTTATATCGTCATTGGAATGTTTACGTCATCTTAAATGATGATGATGATATAGAAATATGCTATTGATTTGCATCTATATAAATAGGTATCTTTTTCTTTTGTTTTTCATTAATAAAACTAAATTCACTATAGTGTTTCTTATTCTTCAACGCTTTTAATAAAATCAATATTCTATTCTATCACTAAACATAATTGTTCAAAAACAAGTAAGTGTCCAATATTCCATATAAAAATTATAAGCCTACAGATTACCAAATATTTTTCGATCGTGTTATCAACAGTAAATTCAAAAGGTAAGATTGCAAATTCATTCTCTTCGGAGCATTTTCTATTTTCTATATTTCTTATTTAGATAAAAATATTACGTGATGCCAGTAAAAAAAAGAGCCTCTTTGGGAAGAAGTACATCAGCTGCAAGAAGAATGGCAGCAACAAGAGCAGCTGAAGATTCTGAAGACGCACGCACTCGACTTGATGGTCAACGTGCAAGACAAGCAGCTTCAAGAGCAGCTGAATCTCCAGAACGGAGACAAAGTCGACGGGAAGATGATCGAGCCAGACATGCAGCTTCACGAGCAGCTGAGAATCCCATACAGAGACGGACTCGAAGTGAAGATCAGCGTAGACGACAAGCAGCCTCAAGGGCAGCGCAATGGACATTTATGGAAGGGGAAGCGTTTCGGTATGATCCAGCCAATAACTATGACAGCCATCCTCAACTTAATATTGGACAAATGAGCGATGTTTGTCCATACTGTAATGCCCTCAAGTGGCATGCAGAAACACGAGGTATGTGCTGTTCTGGTGGGAAAGTAAAGTTACCTGAACTTCAGCCTCCTCCTGAACCACTGAAATCATTAATGTCAGGAACAACGCCTGAATCGAAGCATTTCTTGGACAACATTAGAAAATACAATTCCTGCTTTCAAATGACATCTTTTGGCACGTCAGAGAAAGTGGCTGACCCAGGCTTCATGCCTACTTTCAGAGTTCAGGGTCAAGTATATCATCGCGTAGGATCTCTGCTGCCGCCTTCGAATGAAGAACATAAATTTCTTCAAATTTACTTCATGGGCGACGATCGAAAAGAAGTACAACAACGTTGCAAAAACATGCCTGGCGTACGTCAAGACATTGTCGAGAAACTGCAGCAAATGGTTCATGAGCACCACATTTATGTTGATCTTTTCAAGACTGCCCTTCAAAGAATGCCAACAGATCAATACAAGGTGCTTATTCGAGCAGACATGAAACCTGTTGGAGAGCATGCACGTCGTTTCAATGAGCCAGTGACAAATGAGGTGGCGGTTGTCATCGCTGGCAACGACTTCGAGAAACGAGATATTGTCTTGGAGCAGAAAAATGGCCAGTTACAGAGAGTATCTGAGACACACAGGTCGTATGATACCTTGCAATATCCTCTCATCTTTTGGAAAGGTGAGGATGGCTACCATTTTCTTATCGAACAGACTGATCCAACAACTGGAATGGCTGTCACTGGCAAAAAAGTATCGGCTATGAGTTTTTATGCTTACAGAATTATGGTACGAACTGGTGCTGTCAATCATATCTTACAGTGCCGACAACTTTTCCATCAGTATGTGGTTGACATGTACGCTAAGATCGAAAGTGAAAGATTATCTTTTCTACGTTATAATCAAAAAAAGCTTAGAGTGGATGAATACATTCACCTGAAAGATGCTATAGCCAATGATGGACGAGCTGACAATCTTGGTCAATTAGTGATTCTACCAGCAACTTTCACTGGAAGTCCCCGGCACATGCATGAATATACACAAGACGCCATGACTTATGTAAGAAACCACGGAAGACCCGACCTCTTTATAACATTCACCTGCAATCCTAAGTGGCAAGAAATTCAAGCAGAATTAATGGAAGGTCAAGCTCCCTCTGATCGTCATGACCTATTAGCAAGAGTGTTCAGACAAAAGCTCATTAAATTGGTCAACATTATTACCAAAAGCCATGTATTTGGGCCAACAAGATGCTGGATGTATTCTATTGAATGGCAAAAGAGAGGACTACCACATGCCCATATTTTGATATGGTTGAAGAACAAAATTAAAGCGGATCAAATAGATAGCGTGATCAGCGCAGAACTACCTGATCCTGAACGAGATCCTCGACTATTTGAAATAATTATCAAGAATATGATTCACGGTCCATGTGGAAGTATCAATCCAAACTCTCCGTGTATGGAAAACAAAAAGTGTACAAAAAGATATCCAAAACAACTCTTGCATGATACAGAAACCGGTGACGATGGATATCCATCGTATAGAAGAAGAAGTTCAGAAGATGGTGGTATCAAAGCCAAAATCAAAATGAGAATTAATAACTCCATTCAAGAAATCGAAATTGACAACAAGTGGGTTGTGCCATATTGTCCACTACTCTCTCGGATCTTTCAAGCCCATATTAATGTGGAATATTGCAACTCGGTAAAATCAATCAAATACATATGCAAATATGTCAACAAGGGCAGTGATCAGGCAGTGTTCGGTTTGGGAAAAGATGGAGCACCAGTTGATGAAATTAGTAACTACCAGTTAGGTAGATACATCAGTAGCAATGAAGCAGTCTGGCGAATCTTGGATTTTCCAATTCACGAACGATATCCAACCGTTGTTCATTTGGCTGTTCATTTGGAAAATGGTCAACGCATTTATTTCACCGAAGATAATGTTCATGAGAAAGTTAATGAACCACCAAGAACAACACTAACAGCATTTTTCTTACTCTGCCAGAAAGACGACTTTGCCAAAACGCTGTTGTACTGTGATATTCCAAAATACTACACATGGAACGCGTCTGAAAAAATGTTTAAGCGACGTGTTCAAGGAACTGCTGTGCTTGGCTATCCAGACATTAGAGAAGGAGATGCATTGGGTCGTGTTTACACTGTGCATCCTAATAATTTCGAATGCTTTTTCCTACGACTCTTACTTCATGTGGTCAGAGGCCCTACTTCATTTGAAGCTCTTCGAACTGTAAACGGTCAGATCTGTGCAACATTTCGTGAAGCGTGTCAATTACATGGATTACTGGAAGATGATCAGCAATGGGATGCCACCATGTCCGAAGCAGCTGCAGCTCAATCGCCAGCAAGATTAAGAAATCTATTTGCTCTTATACTAGCTGTTTGTGGACCATCCAATCCAAAACAATTATGGGAGTCGTACAAAGAAAGCTTGACTGAAGACATTCTGAGAAATGCTCGCAGGCAAAATCCTGGAATGAATTTGGATTATACACCAGATATGTTTAATCAAGCACTGATTATTATTGAAAATAAAGTTTTAGAGATGGGTGGCAAAGAACTTGAGAAATTAGAGCTCCCAACTCCTCAACGAAATTCGGGTGATCGATTAAACAGTGCAATGCTCAGAGAAACAAGTTATGATGTGAAAGAGTTGGATGCTTATATAACAGCAAATGAGCCACTGTTGGTGCCCGATCAGAGAGCTGCATACAATGCGATTTTGAATCAGATCGAGAAGAAAGCTGGTGGAATAATCTTCCTTGATGCACCTGGTGGAACAGGAAAGACATTTGTCATTAATTTGTTATTGGCTAAAATCCGGCATCAGTCAAAGATTGCGATTGCGGTCGCCTCTTCCGGTATCGCTGCTACGCTGCTTCAAGGTGGCTGTACTGCGCACTCGACATTAAAGTTACCTCTTAAGTTTTTGGAAAATCAAACTCATCTCTGTAGTATTACCAAAGGAACTGGCGAAGCAAAGGTTCTGCAAGAATGTGAACTTATTGTATGGGATGAGTGCACAATGGCTCATAGGTATGCATTAGAAGCTTTGAACCATACTTTACAAGATCTTCGTAATAATGGGAAGAATATGGGTGGAGTAGTTGTACTTATTGCTGGCGATTTTAGGCAAACATTACCAGTTATTCCAAAGGGTATCATGGCTGATGAGCTTAAAGCTTGTTTGAAATCTGCGTATCTTTGAAGACATGTTGCATCATTAAAACTCAGTACTAACATGAGAGTGCACTTACAAGGTGACGTATCTGCCGGCCGTTTCTCTGAACAACTTCTCGCGATTGGAAATGGCAAAATACCTGCTGACCCAGTCAGTGGACTTATTAATATTTCAGACAACTTTTGCAATATCGTTGAATCAGTCGAAGAACTCAAGAATAAAGTGTTTCCAAACATTCAAACTCAGTACAAGGATCACAAATGGTTATGTGAACGTGCTATTCTGGCTCCGAAAAACGTCAATGTAAATGCTATCAATCTACAAATACAGCAACAACTTCCTGGTGAAGCTATATCTTACAAATCAATTGATACAGTTAAAGATATCGACATGGTAGTTCAGTATCCAACTGAGTTTCTCAATTCACTCGAACCTTCTGGAATGCCACCACATAACTTGCGTCTGAAAATTGGATCATCTATTATGCTCCTAAGAAATCTGGATGCACCAAGATTATGTAATGGTACAAGGCTATGTGTCAAAACTCTAATGCCTCATGTAATCGAAGCAACGATCATGACAGGTTGTGCAAAAGGTGAAGATGTATTCATACCAAAAATACCTTTGCTCCCTTCTGATATACCATTCGAATTTACACGACTTCAGTTTCCAGTACGGCTTGCCTTCGCAATGTCTATTAATAAGGCTCAAGGGCAATCACTTAAAGTTGCTGGTGTCAATTTAGAAACTCCTTGCTTTTCTCATGGTCAACTTTATGTGGCATGCTCGAGAGTAGGAACTGGAGAGAATTTATATGTTTTTGCTCCAGATGGAAAAAACGAAGAACATCGTGTACAAAACAGCTTTACAATGAAAACTTCTATTTTACTGTTTTTTTGCTTGAAAGAAGTTCATCAATAAAAATATAAAAAGGAAAAAAGTCTATAACGGCTTTAATGTGTTGAATATTAAAATTAAAAAAGAAAAGATTCGAGTGTAGCTTATGATATTGCAGATGAATAGCTGTTGAGGACTGTGGCAACATTGTATTATCATCAAGGGGGAAAAAGCTGATTTAAATCACTCCAAAATCAAATTTAAATCATATAAATCACTTTTAAATCAATTAAATCAAATAAATCAAATAAATCACTTTTAAGTCAAATAAATCAAATAAATCAGTTTTGAGTCAAATAAATCAAATAAATCACTTTTAAATCAGATAAATCATCTGAGGGTGTGGGTGTGGGTGTTAGCAAATTAAAGATTCACACCAATACCCGCACCAACACCCACCCTCAGAAGTACAATTGGAAGAACATCAACATCATTTCA